TTCCGAGCAATATTCACCATAAGATTCGAGCAGAAACATATGAAAAAGCCGGGAATGACACAGTGCTTCACTATTCGCAACAGTACCCGCTCAGCGTGCACATATCGGTACCTCCTATCAATATGCGCTTATAATTCATTAGGCTAAACGTACCCGCTCATCACCTCGGGTTCTAAACACAACCGCTTACCTGCGCGGGTCCTACAAAGAACCGCTCATCTGCTCGCGGCCGGGGCGCTGGTTAGGTTAGGTTGCCCCTCGTATTTACTTTAATATCACCCAATATCGGAGGCTTTTGCCGGTTATAGCAGTTTAAAAACGGTGTTCCAGTACAGACGAGAGAGTCGGTTACATTTTTTGTTTCTTAATTAGAGCTCAGCGCCTAGATACATCCATTGAAATCTGGGAATCACCCGCCCGTATTTCAGAAAGATAAGCGGTTCTGTGTAGGACCCGTGCAGATGAGCGGTTCTGTTTAGAGCCCTAAGTAATGAGCGGGTCTGTGTGGACTAAAAACAAATAAGCGCATATTGATAGGAGGTACCGATATAAGACATTTGTATGGGAAAGAGTTGCTGTGCGTAGAAGGTGAAATTGCTCGTCAACTCTGACGAGTGACACCCGAGTGACACCCGGGTGACAACAGAGAGACGGTTGTGATATTGCAGCCCCACTGCTGCTGCTTGCTGCTTCCCCCAGCAGCACAGCTGACGGGCGTGAAATAGTCAAGACACCGTCGTCTAACAATGAGACCATGGCAAGGCAAGCCCTGCTCCCGGGACATGAAGGGAAAACATTACTAGAGGCAAGACACACAATAACTGGGGGGCTCATGTCGCAGCAGTCGCCCTCCTTACCGATACTCGTAGGCCCACTCGTCACACAACTCAAACAGGTCCGCACCGCGAGTGTCTGTATCCTTGACACCGCAGCAGAGTTGTTCGAAACACAAGTTGAAGAGGGCGGAAAAAATATACAGTAATCCTTTCTTATCCTTGAGGCAAACGAGCGACGAACACAGACAAAAACACACACACACCTTCACTGAGTATCACAGCGAACGGCAGGTATCCTTTGGCACAGAGTCGTGACGGAGATCGCGCGGGAGGGGATCGGTCGGCTCACGGCACCGACTGGCGTGACCCGACGCTCACTGCGGCTCGCAAGCAACTGACTAAACTCAGCGTCGAGTCGAATCGGGCGAGCCGACGCCGAGCGCCGCCGGCCCAGAGAGGAGGAGGGGGGAGGTAGACAGACGTGTGGTGCGGCGGGCAGGGGTGGTAGTCTCGTGGCGCGCGCCACTGCCAGCCCGCCCGCCCGTGCTGCTGGGGGAGGATGCAGCGGCCGGCCCGGGAACTACACCACCCGGGTCCAAAATGTATAGGACGGCGATCTGGAGGAAGGTGCATCAAGTCACAATTTCAGTCACAGTGTGGTCCGGGCTTGCCTACCGCCGCTCACCACGGCATCTTATGGCTCCGTGTGAGTATGCAACCCACCCGCACATAGGCACAAGAAAGGATGGGGTCTGTGGACCACCCAGTATGTACACACATGGATTTGCAAAGTGACTGAAATGTTCACGCTCTACTTCGATTCCTGAATCCAACATTTAGAAAATAACGCATGATATCAAATCTTTTGAGTCCAGGATTACCGCCATCGCCGTCATAAATCGACATCAAAACCAACTCTTTCAGACTGAGAAGAAAACTCCGCTCCCCGCTCATACGGATGCTAGTACACAATACAGTATGAGTTTATCAGGGGGGGAGGGGGGAGCTCACTCTATAGTAATTAGCAATAGCACAGAGCACAGGAGGGGACGGAGTGGGGGGGGGGCAGCAAGGCAGCGCAGGACAAAAGCCTTCCCTTACTTGACTTTGCCCCGAGGGCTGATCGACGCTGAGGTGGTCCAAGACGACCTCCCGGTCACGTGGTCGCGCTTTGATAGAGACTCCCGAGCCCCCGCTGCGGGGGGATTAGCCGTGTCACGCGCTGCTCCCCTCCAAATTAATCGGAGCCGGGAGCCCCTTTTTCTCACATCAATAATAATAATCATGGCGATACAGAATTATTATTGTTGTTGTTGTTGGTTGGGATAAGTGACCGAACCCAAGTTCGAGGATCTTCCACCACACTGCTACTGCCGGTGCGGGGAAGTCCTCCTCGACCCTATATTGTACAGCCTCACAAAAGCCCATGACAAAAAGTAAGAAATACACTTTTGGGGATTATGTCACTCTCAAATGGGATAGGATAAGAGCTGCAAGCAACACAAGAGTGTCCATTTTTCACCCGTTGAATTTTGACCATATTATTTTTCACTATCACAGTCATGTTGTTGGGCTTTGCAACCTATTTACCTCACACGCAAATCCGCGGCTGGCTTTTCCGCGGAAACTCGCCCCAGCC